TGCAATGCAGGCAGGTATGACGAGCCTGGGGGGGCAGCCTGCTCTATGCCTACTCAAGCTCAGCCTTTCCTGGGGTCCAATATGAACCCCAGGGATCAGCCTGTCCAAATAGGGCAACTGAGGTCCAGAGGAGAAATGTGGAGGCCTCTCCTGGAGGGCTTTTGCCAGTCTAGACGGACCTGGAGAAACAGCCTCCTCCCCAGGGCAACCTGAGGCCAACTGCCCTAGCCCACCGGGCCTGGCAGGGGGCATGGGAAGGGGCTAGGAATAGCACCAAGAAGGGCCCCAGTGCCCAGCCCTCACTCCCCACTCCCCTACAGCCCCATGACAGCATGGGACACTTTCTTCCTGGGACCTGGGAGCTTGGCAGGCAGCTGGGGGTGGCCAGGCAGCAGCTGGCACCCAGGCCCTGTCCAGAGGGCACGAGGCTGCAGGGTCACAGGTGGGCGGGATGGGGCGTGAGAGTTCCTGCTGAATGCTAGAAACCATAGGGCTCGAGAGCAAGAGTCCCCTCTGTCCCTCCAGAATCTTCTGAAACCTTGTCTCCAAGCTCCACCGGCCCCTGCCCCAGCTCCCACTAACTCCATCTCCACTGTCCCTTCAGTTACCCCAGGCTCGCCACTTCCTTTCCCTCTGCCTCCCACTGTCTCCCCCGTTTCCTTTCCTACTTTTGCTTCTGGTCTCACCCTCCACACGGCTCCTCTAGGAAGCCGTCCCTGAATGCCCAGGCTGGGCTGCGCTGCTGGCCCCTACTTCCCTCCGTGGTAGACTTGGTCATGGAGGCTGAGGGGAACTGTTCATTTGTTATTCTGTCCCTCGTCCTGGGGCTAACTGGGAGAGGACCCCACTTGAGACTCAGCTCTGAGACCCCACAACACCCGACCACACTCCAGGCACTCAAGTGCCCAGCAGTGATGGGCACGTGAAGACATGAGTGAAGAAACGAGTGTGTGACTGGGTAGATGCCATGGGCCGTGCTTGGTGGGAGCCAGAGGAAGGGCTGGAGCCAGGGGCCGGGGAGGAACCATGGGCAGGGCCCCCACCCATCTGGAAAAGTGGAATGGTGTGCACAGACCCAGCTGGCAAGTGGTCCCAGCTGTGGCTTGGCCCCAGCAGCTGGGACGGGGGCTTCTAGAGCTGCAGACACCGCAGGGACCTCTCCAGGGGTCCTGTCCAAGACCTTACACTGGGCTTGTCCTGACACCGTGCTTGTGAGGCCACCCTTAGGCCTCAGGCTGGGTGGGCTCCCACCCAGGGAGACCAGTGTGGCCTCAGGTAGGACACCTGGGTCTGGACCCAGAAGGTTTCTAGGCCTTGCCCTGATGGCCCCAGGACCTTGTCTGCAGGTGGAGTGAGAGGACTCATGAGCCTCTGCCCGCATCTCCTCCCCGCTGCTTCCGAGCGAGGCTGGGAGGGTTTTTCCTTCTGTGGCTACAGGACTCCAACTGTGAGAGGTGCGTGGCCCAGACCACAAGAGGACAGGACAGTGGCCTGGAGGCCCAGGCTGCCTCCCCTGGCCCAACCTCCATGTGTCCCAAGGTGGGGTCAGCAGAGGACTCAAAAAAGAGCTGGGTCTCCAGTTCTGACTGGAGACTCTGCTCACCCCAGGGTCCCGGCAGGAGCACCTGCCCAGGGCAGGCTGTAGGTGAGCTCTGGGTCCTGGGATCCCCTCTCCTTTGCATTTTGCTGGCCGCCTGCCCACTGAGCACTGTCTGTCTATGGGGCACTGCTGTGGGCATCAACATGCAACTCCCTGGATCCCCAAAACTCACAGGTTCTGATTCCCAAGGGTCCTAGGGCACCCAGGCCAAGTGGCTCTGAGTCCCCAGGTCCATCAAGTGCAAAGACCTGATGAACAGACAGGGAGAACCCCAGGGAAGGAAGGCAAGTGCAAGCTCAGACTCAGAGGGAAACAGGCAAGGACGAGGCCCGGGGGACCGCCAGTTGGATTCCCCAGTTCCCATGGCAGAAGGAGTCTGCAGCACCTGCTCCAGCTTCGGACTCTCCCGAGAGCAAGCTGGCGGCTCTGCTGGGGGAGCTCAGGCTTTCCTGTGTGTCCCGCACACGGTGAATCAGCCACCCCTCCCTGTGCACCGCTCTGCCCCTCTACCCGCCAGACCGTGGCCCCTCCCAAGGGGCCAGCAGGACTAGCCTAGCTCGGGGAGAAGGTGGCCCACGGCCCCTCCTTCCTGATCCCCCTCCTTTACCTCCCGGTTCCGGGAGTTGTGAAGTTCACCCAGATATCTAACTCAGATCTTGCCTGCTGCTTTTTTAACTGGGTCTTTCTTGTTCTGTTGGTGAAGATACAGTGTTACTTGTCATCTCTCTGAGACCAGCCGTAGCCGTTCTTTTCTCCTTCATCTCTCTGTGAACTTGGACAAGGTCCCTGGGCCTCTGTGTCCCCACGTGGGCGGAGGCGTATGAGTTGGGTAGACGGAAGACACCAGAGGGCCTGTGTTCAAATCTTGGTTCTACCTTTCGCTGGCTGTTGAGCTTGGACAGGTCCCCTTACTCTCTGTGCCTCAGTTTCACCGTCTGTAAAATGGAACTAGCACTGACCTATTTGGGGAAGGGGTGTTGTGAAGGTTGTGGACACGTGTGGAACAGGCCCAAAGTCTGGCACAGGGGTGTGCTGGTCCTCAGCCAGCTTGGGAGACAGGGGCCATCACAGAAACAGGACTCCTGCCCCTAAGGGTGGGAGCTGAGGCAGGGGAGGAGAGAGCAAGAGTACAGCCAGCTTGGTGCAAGCCGGCATCAGGGAAGGAAGGGTGTGAGGTGCATCCTGGGAAGAGCCAGTGGGAGCAAAGGCAGGACTGGGGCTCACTCTGCAGGGGGGCAGGGAGGGAATGTGCTGTGGGCACACAGTGGGTCAGGAAGGACTCTAAGGGTACGCCAGTGAGACATCCTCTGCCCTCCAGGGCCAAAGGGCCCCTGCGTGCTCTGACCACCAGACAGTGCGAAGTGAACGGCGCAGGCAGCCCTGTGGGACAGGGCAGGGTGGGAGCCGGGGCTGCAGCTCAGCTGTGAGCCAGGGAGGGACGTGGATCCTCCAAGAGAGGAGGAGGGGACAGAGGGGACGGAGGGGACCAGGTGGCAGCAGGGCAGAGGCTCTGTTCCCTTACGTCCATTCTACAAAGCGGGAAGCCCAGACTCAGAGGCCTGGAGGAGTGAGTGCAGAGAAAGTCCTTTCCTCACTCCCAGAGGCTGCTGCCTCAGTTGTCAGCTGTTGCATCCCCCGAGATGGGCCGCCAGCCTCACTGGCAGCTGTGGGCACAGGCACCGCAGGGGAAGTGGGGAGAAGGGTGAGGGGTCAGAAGTTGGGGCCAGCCCAGGGCAGCACTGAAGTTGCAAAGTAACTGGCCAGCGAGCCTGGGTAGAGGTGGGCTGCCAGAACTCTGGCCCTTTTAGCCATCGGTCCCCACACCTTACCCAGCTAAGTCCACAGGAATGGCCTATGTGTGGGAGCAGCTGGGTGGCAGGCCTGGTGTGGGAACCGCCAGGGCCAATCAGAGGGGCGGGAAGGCCCCTGGTGTGGGCGACACCTGCAGGGCAGGGCAGGCCAGGGCTAAGCACGTGGGGTCACCACCCCATGCAGCAGTGAGCCACTGAGTGGGGGTGCGAGGGGCTGGCCAGGGGGAAATGCTCCCAAAATATAAGCCTTAGGGGGGAGCCTGGGGCTGGGGTCGGGTGGGCCCCCAGGCCAGGCCAGCAGCAAGGGCGAGGCCTCCAGCGGGCCCCCTGGGAGGATGTGCAGGGCAGCCCGAGGGGACTGGGCGGGGATTGAACCAGAGCCAAGAAATCAGTACAGTCTGGGCACCAGGGCCGGGCATCTCAGAGGCTTCCTCATTCCTGGCCCTGTGGGAGTAGCCGGACCCCGGCGTGCCGCTGCCGCCGCCGATTCACTTACTGTCTCACAGGGAACCAGGGCCTCCTGCCAAACTGCCCAGCCCAGGCCCCATGCACGCCAGCCCCATGGGCCCTACTGACCACCAAGTCCTGGCCCCAGGCTACCCCCTGCTCTTAGATGGGGAGACTGAGGCTGTACATCCAGGAGGGTCGCCCCAGAGGCTGCCCATGCATCAGGAAGGAACAGGGCTGGGGCTGTGAGTCCAGTGCTTTTCTGGCTGTCGCCCCTTCTCCGCACCCTGGAGGGATCCATTCCCCTTGAGAAGCCCCTCCACTGGGATCTGGGTCTGGGGCCAGTTCCGTGGGTGCCCAGGCTGGGCACAGCAAGGATGGGGTCTGTTTGATCAGCAGTTTTGCCCGATGCCAGGCTGCTGGGACAGCGGGCAGTGGCCAGACCGGCCTTGCCACATGCCTCCGCCCCTCGGGGGAGCACCGTGCATTGCCGTGTGCGCGGCTCTCGCAGGCTGCAGGCTGGGAGGCCCTGCCACAGCTGGGCTCTGGGGAGGAGCAGCGGAGCCTGTGGCCAGCCGCAGGCTGTTGAGTTTCTGGGGGCCTCATGTCACCTTCCCAGGCCTGGTGAGATCAAGGCAGGCCCCAGGGCTGTGGAGCCAAAATCCACCAGACCCCAGCTGGATGGACCTACAGGGACCCTGAAAGCCAGACGCCGCCCTGGTCAGAGCGGAGCAGAGGCTCAGGGGCCTAGGGGCCTGCTGTCCCTTCTTCTTACAGTAGCTCCAGCCCAGCCCCCGGTAACCAGGTGCCAGGCCCACGGCCCTCCTGTCCCTGCGCCTGAGCCTGGTGCTGTCCAGCAAGGCCTCAGGGTCTGTGTCCAGTGCCCCAGTGCTCCTGGCTGGGTGGGGCCAGCCCAAAGGTGCCTGGAGGCAGGTAGGCATGACTCGAGCTCCAGGGTGGGCTCTGGGCAAGGTTCTCTGGTGTGAGGATGGGAAGGACGGCCCACAGAGGGGCACGGGGAAGCCAGATAGCTGGGGGCACATGAGGGCCTCGGGGGCTCATCCTCGGTGGGCAGAGCATGTGTCCCCACTGGTGGGGCCGCAGCTGCAGGTGTATCGCATGGGGACTACACACACACTCACTTTTCTGATTCCAGCTTTTATTGGGCTGAGCACTCCCCTCCAGGGGAGGCTGCTGTCAGAAGGGCGGGATGCAGCACCTTGGTCGCCATCACCCCCATCTGGGCCACCCTGACCCCCGTCTCACCCAGGCAAAGGGCCTGTTGCTGACAGACTTCGGGGTGGGCAGGGGCTCAGTGGGGTGCCCAGCAGCCAAGGGACAGTGCGAGTGGCTCGGTGGCATCAGGGGCCCCGAGGGTCTGTTCAAGCAGAAGGAGGAGCCTGGTTCGGGAGATGGGGGATGGGATGGGGGATGGGGATGCGGGATAGGGATGGGGGATAGGGATGGGGGATAGGGATGGGGGATAGGGATGGGGGATGGGATGGGGGATGAGGGATGGGGCCGCAGCCATCCCCCACTCCAGTACCCAGTGTAGGTCACAATAATTTAAAGACACTATAGACATTTCGACGCTATATAACATCATAAGTTAACCAGGTTCCTTGCAGTGGCTGCCGGGCCTATGGACTCAGGGGTGTTCTGGGACTTGGGGAGGGTGAGGGGATGGCGCCAGGCTGAGGGTGGGGTATTCATGGTGGCCCAGAGACTCACAGCATCCAGGCATGGTTAGGGGCACATGGGCTGGACCACAGGGTCAGAGCCCAGGAGGGACTCACTTGCCCCAGGCTGGGCCCAGGCCCTTGGCTTGTCGGCTGCTCAAGAACACATTCCCACAGACTTCCAAGAGAACACACCCTAAATGGGGGCCAGGCTGTGGGCAGTGGAGGGTGCACCAGGAGCCAGCTGCAGACTATCCTCTCTGGCCTCGGACGAGTTCCTCCCTCTGTCACTCACGCTCCTCAGAGACAGGGGTGGGAGCGTCCAGAAAGGACACGTCCAACTCTGGATACAGATTTTCTCAACATTGGAGTCAAGGTGAAAGGACTAGGACAGGGCCAGACAAACCCTCAAAGGCACCGAGGGGAGTGCAAGCCCCAGTGAGGCTGTCATGGCAAGGAGGGAGCAGCCGAGTGCCTCAAGGCATGGGAGCCACCTCTTGCCACCCTGGGCATCCTGATGTGTTCTCCTGGGTCCAGAGCCCCAGGCTGGACAGGAGAAAGGTGTAAGCCTCCACTCACAGCTGCAGGGTCTCTGGCAGGTCCTTGTGCCACTCTGGGCCTCAGAGTCCCCATCTGTCAAATGGGACAAACATCCCTGACCACTCACCACCTGCCTGCCCACCCCGCGGCGGCACTGTCCCAGGGGTCAGGCTGGCTCCAGGGGGAAGGGGGCTCTGTAAACTGGAGGTGCCAGGCCGGGAGGGCGACAGCATGAGGGAGGGAACAACACACTCCTGGAACCTGGCATGGGTGACATTTTGATTTGCTTGATATTCTTTTCTTTTTTTTGTTTGTTTTTGAGACAGAGTCTCGCTCTGTCACCCAGGCTTGAGTGCAGTGGCGCAATCTCAGCTCACTGCAACCTCCACCTCCTGGGTTCAAACAATTGTCCTGCCTCAGCCTCCCAAGTAGCTGGGATTACAGGTGTCCGCCACCATGCCCAGCAAATTTTTGTATTTTTAGTAGAGACAGGGTTTCACCATGTTGGCCAGGCTGGTCTCAAACTCCTGACATCAGGTGATCCACTCGCCTCAGTCTCCCAAAGTGCTGGGATTACAGGCATGAGCCACCACGCCCAGCCATTGATAGGATTTTCAAAAGAAGGAAAGATGGCCTGGAGGAGCCTGTCCATGGCTCTCCTCCAAGGCCTGGTCAGGGCTGTGTGGTCCGACGCGCCCCTGCCCAGCTTACTTCTAGAACCCGCAGGCACTGCGTGGTCCCCATCAACCCCAGGCTGCCTCCGCTCTGCAGGGGCAGAGGGCCAGCCAGGTGGGGCTGGGAAAGGAAACAGAAAGGGTGTTGAGGGGATGGGCTGACACAAAGTACGGAGTTACGACTGGCTACGCATTAGTGCTGAGAATCCTCTTCTGATACTAAGAAAACATAAATAATTTGTGTCAACATCTGTCCCCACCGCCCCAGGGCCCAGCGGCAGACTCGGCCTGGGAATCGGTCTTGAGGGGCCAGCCAGCGTAGCTTTTCTGTGTCCATGTTGCCAGGTGGGGCAGGGGACGCTCAGTCTCGTCGTCACTTTGCTCTCTGGGATACACATGTGTCCTGGAGGTTCATTTTCCCAGAGAGAAGAAAGGGAACTTGCTGGGCCCCGTCGGGGAGCAGGAGGTGATGGGAGGAGGTGGCAGGAAGGAGCCCCAGGGAGGTGGGTAGAGGGCGTGGGCCCCGGCCAGTGTCCTCCTGCACGTGGAGCTCCCCGCTTCTGCACCCGCCTCTGCCTGCCGCTGGCAGCACCAAGGCAGGGAAGGCGAGGATGGATGTGCAAAATGCCGCTGGGTGTCTGGGGTGCCCGCGGCCGCCTCCGGGCCCAGCCTCACTTGCAGGTGAAGACCTCGGTGCGCTCGCTGCAAGTGTTGCACTTGACGAAGCAGCACCAGTGGAATTTGCAGTTGCACTGCCACACCTTGGTGTACTGGTGGGTGTTGTAGCCTCGGCCGCAGCACATGGTGTCACAGCCGTCCGCACCGGGCGACGTGCGGTTGCAGAGGCGGCCCTGCGTGCCCACGCTGCCCGTGGCCGCGTCCTCCTCGCAGTAGTTGGGCGACTTCTCGATGTACACCAGGTCCGTCTCCATGGGCTTCTGATAGCTGCGCAGCTGTTTGATGCGTAGGAAGGTGGGCTGCCGCAGGCGGCTGGCCCGCACCACCTCCACCTGCACGGCCGCGTTGTACTTCTCCTTCAGCAGGTGGCCCACCTCTCGGAACTTGGGCAGCGTGGTCCAGCAGGTCTTGGTGGTGCAGGAGCCAGACACGCCGTGACACTTGCACTCCAGCTGCATCCGGTCCTCCAGAACCTGAGGGTGACAGGGAAGCTGCTTGGCACGGCACGGCCCAAGCTGGGCCCCTCCAAGTTCCCCTACCCCTGCCTCCAGCCCAGCCCTGGAGCCCGCTCCTTCACTTGCAGCTGTGTGACCACGGGTAAGTGTCTCTCCCTCTCTGAGCCTCAGCCTCCTCACCCATTACATGGAGCTGCTAACAATAGGTCTCCACTGCACAGGAGGGTGTAAGGGTGCAGTGAGAATATCTGGGACTTGGCAAAGCCTGCTGTACATTTATCGAAGGTATTTTGTTAGACTCTCATAGCCCTTCAAGGAGATGCTATGTCCTGGTCATGCACTGGTGAGGAAACTGAGGCTTGGGGCTGTGGGACCTGCTGCAGGTGACAGGTGGGGTTGGCCCAGCAACAGTAGGTACTTAATAAATGCTCATTACCCCACCCTGCCATCTCTCCTGCTCCCCACCCTCGGGCTTGGCGTAGGGTCTGGCATGCAGTTGGTGCTTAACAAATGGCTGTTTAATGGAAGCCTGAAGTGCCGGTGGCCCTCGGTGCACGTTTGCCCAAGGCCGGGGGGTGAGCAGGGGAGGCGAGTACACGGGTCAGTGAGGCCCGGGCGTGCTGAGAAGCCGACAGCCCCAGCCCGCCCGCTGTTGTTCTTCCTCCTCAGCTCCACAAGGGCCCTCCACGGGTGCAGTGTTTTCCTTGGGCCTCCCTCCATGGCCCCAGAAGGCTGATTCCCAGAGCCAGCCCTGACCCCAGGTACTCATTTACCCGGATCGAAAGGGCCCTGCCAGCCGGGCCTGATTGAAGATGGGGAATTATTAGCTGGCGCCCCGCAGCTGCAGAGGGGCCATTTGTCAGCTGTCAGAGCTCTGCTGGCCTCGCTCGGCAGCCCAGCCCTGCCGGGGCTTGGCCACCCTCTGTCCCTCGGGCCAGAACTCACGGTCATGGGGCACCTGCTGTTGGCCCCCAGCTCTAGCCCAGTGGAGAAGTCCCCCAGGAAATGAATGAATGAATGAGTACAAGAAAAAGAGGGAGAGAAACAGCTCCACAGAGATGGCTACTGCCCCGAGCGGCTTCCCTGGCCTGGTTGCATGAGGTCCTCTGGGGCTCGCAGTTCAGCGTGGGACACAGCGAAGGTGCTGCAGGAACCCAGGAGAGTCAAATCCTGCTGGAGTCAGGGTGCTTGAGGTAGGGGCTTCCTGGAGGAGATGCGGGTATTGATGGATGTGTTGGAGCTCATTAGAAAAGGGGACAGCATTCCAGGAGGGATTCAACATGAGCAAAGGTCTGGAGATCACCGAGCATGAAGGAAAAGACTGGGCCCAAAGCTCAGTAGGTGGGTGCTGGGTGGGCCCTAGGCTGGCAGCCTGGAGCTCGGGTGTCCTCTGCTCTGCATCAATGATGCCCTTGGGCAAAGACTGGAGAGACAGGGGAGAGGTGGGAGAGGGAGGCTGGTGCCCCTCCCAGGATGGCTGAGGGTGGGAGGAGTCCAGGAGTCCTGAGAAGAGGGTGGGGCAGCTTTGGGGAATAGCACGGCTCAGAGGCTGGGATGAGGGGCGTCTGGGCCAAGGTCGTGGGCCAGAGCCTGAACTGGGTGTCTGGGCAACCCCCAGAGAATATATTGGGACCTCCTCCCTGCCTCCTGCCCCTCTCCCATCCTGTCCATCACCCCAGCTCCCTGCTCATCTCGGCTGGGATCTGTCCCCTCCCGGAAAAGCCCCTCCCTCCACTAACCTGCCCCTCAAGCCTGGAAGCATTGCTGGCCCTGGCCACACGGCCTGCCCGGATGCTCCCCAGGCCGGGCGCCGCCGCAGGAGACACCCTGATGGTGGCCCCTCTTGGAGTTCCCAGTCGGGAGAAGTTCACCCCACCCCTGGCTGTTCACCCTCCTCAGATGGGCCTGGATGGCCGGAGACCTGGCAGGCCTGTCCAGACTAGAGGGTGTGCAGGCCACGTGGTCCAGGCTCAAGCTGCCCTCTAGTGCTCCCGCTGTGGCCCAGGATGGCTGCCCCTGATACTGTGCTCTGCATCCCTCCCCCTCCTCCCTCGCCTACCCCTGTCTCCCAGTCTTCATCAAGGCCAGGGAGCCCAGTCGCATGCTACTGCCCGCCTGGGGACAATCAGCCCCTGCAGGGCCAGGCCGGTGACCATCCGCAGATAAAGCCTAATGGGCCGCTGTTTGTAGAGCGAGGAACCACATCCTCGCTTGGCTGGATCCCTTGGGTCACAGTCTCTCCCACGAAGTGATCACGGGGTTCAAGAATGTGCCATTTCCTTCACCAGTGCCCTGGCCATTCGAGCCACAACAACGGTGGCACCAGCGCTGAGACCTGCCCCCTGCCCCAGGAGACCACCTGGCAGGGCGCAGAGTGAGCTCATCTTGCTCAGAGGAGCTGCAGGCTGCAGCAGGGGCCGCTCCTCCAGGCCTTGGTTCCTCCTCAACCCTGGGGGCCTGGCTGGGCGGTGGGGTGGTGGACTGAATGGGCTCCAGGAAAGGGCCGATTCAATGTTCTTTCCCGAATAAGGGTGTAGCCTAGAAACAGTGCTCAGGTATAGCCAGGCAGGGGAGTCATGGGGTTGGTGGACTAAAGTCCTTCTAGGGGGAGGCTGACCAGCCCAGGAGCCTGGCGTCCGATATTCCAGCCACTGGGGCCGACGAAAGGCACCTCACCCCGGATCCTGGCGATGGCCTGGGGCTGTGGAACGAGGTGCCTCACACCCTCTTCTACAGCACCTCCCATGCCTGCTGGTCCCTGCTCCTAAGTGTGGCTGTAACCTGTGAGCCCCTCAGGGCCATAGCCCATGTCTGCTTCACCCTCTGACCACGAGCCCATGAAGTGGATTGAGCGTGGCCTCGAGTGAAGTTATGTCATGAGCCACTGGCCGAGGAGAGAGTGTGGAGGGTGTGCCCCTCCCAGGATCCGGCGCTCCCATTAGGATGGTGTGAATGACACGGCCACCCAGCAGGACGCTGTGGACCCTCAGTCAGGGAAGAGCCGTGCCAAGACGTGGGACATGGCCAGCTAATGGGGTTCCCAGCCCCTAGTTCCAGGAGCTAGTGGCACTCCACAGCGATGGCTCCTAACCTCATGTCACCAAGAGAGGTGCCCTCAGCTGTCCTGACACCAGCTCCCGGGCCTCTGCAGATGGACAATCTCCTGCCTTCACTGGGTTGGTCTTGGGGGCATGGCCTCTGTCTGCCCTGCTGACCTGCCCCACACAGCAGTGGGGACCATGCACCAGGGGCAGAGCCGGCACCGGGCACTGGGCACTCAGGTCTCCAAAACCTCAGGGGCTGCTCTGAGAGCTTTCTGCACAGGCACCCTGTGGCAGCCCATTAAAGGCCACTCCAGCCCACCAGGGAGCTTGGGGAAGGGCAGCCAGGGCCTTGGTCTGGTAGAAGTGGGGGCAGGGCGGGGGCGGGCCTTCAGACTCTGCCCATCTCACTCTTGCCCACCAGGGACACCAGCCTGGGCCACATGCCAGCTTGGGGAATGGCAGAGTAACCCCCCAAATTCACGTCTGCTCAGAGCCTGGGCAAGTGACTTTATTTGGAAGTAAGGTCTTTACAGATGTGATTAAGGAAAGGATGGAGAGGAGGTCACCCTGGGTTGTCCAAGTGGGCCCTAAATCCAATGAGAGGGTCTATACAAGAGATGGAGAGGGCCAGGCGCAGTGGCTCACGCCTGTAATCCCGGCACCTTGGGAGGCCAAGAGGGGCGGATCACCTGAGGTCAGGAGGTCCAAGACCAGCCTGGCCAACATGGTGAAGCCCCATCTCTACCAAAAATACAAAAATTAGCTGGGCACAGTGGCACACACCTGTAATCCCAGCTACTCGGGAAGCTGAGGCAGGAGGATTGCTTGAACCTGGAAGGCAGAGATTGCAGTGAGCAGAGGTCAGGCCACTGCATTCCAGCCTCCAAGCAAGACTCCGTCTCAAAACAAACAAACAAACAAAAAAGAGATGGAAGAGAAGAAGACTCAGGCTCAGAGGAGACCTGGTGAAGACAGAGGCAGGGGCTGGAGGGAAGTGGCCACAACGGAGGAACACTGGGAGCTGAGGAATGCTGGGAGAGCCAGGAAGCATCCTCCCCTGGTGCCTAGAGGGAGTGCAGCCCTGCCAACCAGCACCTCGATGTTGGACGTGGGGCCCCAGCGCTGAGAGAGAACAGATGTCCTTTGCCATAAGGCCCCACTTGCGCCACTTGTCTGTGGCGGCAAGTCAGCTGCCCTCCACCCACCTCACTGCGCAGTGGGGTCCTGAGGAAGTGGGGGGGCAGAGGTGGGCCTGGTACTCTGTGATGGGGCCAGGGTCCCAGCATCAACCCAGGAAGGGCTGGACTCAGTGCTTATGGAAATTTCCAGAAGCCCCACCCTATACTCACCCCCTGCCGCCATGATGAGCACCGTGCTCTTTAAAAAGGACCCTGTCCTGAGGGTCACCGTGACACCACCACCCTTGGCCTTTTCCAAGGGCTCAGGCCACACTTGTGCCCCACAGGTGCACAGGGTGGGGGCTGTTGGAGGGGCAGTGAGGAGTCGGGGGGACAAAATGCATTGCACCTGCTGTGCAGATAAGAAGGCCAAGGCTCCACAGAAGCATGGGTCAACCAGGGCCTCATCGACCATCCGAGACAAGGCTGGTAGGAGAGTTGGCCACTGGTGGCATTGTCAGAGCCCTTTCCTGTGGCTGTCCTCTTTGTCCCCTGCCCACCTGTGGGGACCGTCACCAGCCTTCTTGTTTTCCCACCTCCTGTCTCCCCTGGGGCCAGTCCTACCTGCCTCCATTTCCCTTCTGCCTTTCCATCACTTGTGAGTCACCAGACACCTCCAAGTCCCATACCAAGTCAGCCCTGGGGTTCACACGGCACCCTAGAGCTAAATCAAACACAACTCTGGCCCTTGAGTTGGTCAGTGTCACTACCCCAGGGCCCTGCAATGACACCTGTAGCCCAGAGACCAACAACACCCTACCCGGCCATCCCCACCCTGGTCTTGCCACACTGCATACCACGACCTGGGTCCTCCATGCCTTTACCTGTGCTATTCCCTCTGCCTGGAGCATCCTTCCCCGCTTCTCTGCTGTGTACACTTCCCCACGAGCAGGGACCCAAGCCACTCAGCCAGGTCTGCTGCTCACTCTGGGCCTCATTCTCCTTATCTTTAAAATGGGGACAGTGAGAGCTTCTTCCCTGGGGGTGTGAGAAAGGCTCTGCTCAGAACCTAAGCAGCTGCAGAGGCTCAAGGGTGGTGGTGGTTCCCATGAGGGTTCAGCCTCGCCTTCTCCTCCTATTTCTCCTCCTCCTCCAGGGACTCCCCCAGGGAGTCCAGGTAAGTGACCCACACTTTCCTCTGGCCTCTCAAGGTTCGTGAACCTCCATTTATGGCATGGACTGTGATCTGCCTGTACCTGGAGACTAGTGTTCACATGCTGTCTGTGAGTTCCTTGGAGGCAAAGGCTGTGTCACTGATTCCTTCATCCATCCATCTATCCACCCATCTTTCCATCCTCCCATCCATCCACCCATCCACCCACCCATCCTTCCATCCATCCATCCCCATCCATCCATCCATTCATCCACCCATCCATCCACCTACCCATCCACCCATCCTTCTACCCATCTTTCCATCCATCCATCCATCCATCTATCCATCCACCCCCATCCATCCATCTACCCATCCTTCCATCCATCCATCCATCCATCCACTCATCCATCCACTCATCCATCCATTCATCCATCCACCCATCCATCCACCCACCAATCCATCCTTTCATCCATCCATCTACTTATCCATCCATCCTTCCATCCGCCCATGCATCCCATCCACACATCCACTCAACCATCTACTCACTCATCCACCCATCTATCTACCTATCCATCTATCCTCCCATCCACTCATCTATCCATCCACCCACCCAATACTTCCATCCATCCTTCCACCCACCCACTCATCCTTCCATCCATCCTTCCACACACCCACCCATCCTTCCATCCATCCATCCCCTCATTCATCCATATTTCCATCCACTCATCCATCCACCCATCCATCCATCCATCCTTCCATCCATCTACCCACTCACCCATATACCCATTCTTCCATCCATCCATCCACTCATACATCCACCCACCCATTCATCCCCTCATACATCCACCCATCCATCCTTTCATCCACCCATGCATCCAGTCATCCATCTACTCCCCCATCCATCCACCCATCTATCCACCCATCCATCTATCAATCCACCCATCTACCCATCCATCCATTCATCCATCCATTCACCCATCAATCCGCTCATCCATCCACCCACCTATCCATTCACCCATCCACCCTGCCATTCATCCATCCACCCATCCATCCATCTAACAATAACTTAATAACCACCTGCATGATAACCTCCACATCTACAAGAGAAAGTCAAATCCTTGGCCTGGTGTTCAAGATCTCTTCTTGAACAGGCCCTACTTCTTGTGCCAGGCCCTACTTGCTTCCCAAGTCCTGTGGCCATCAAGCCTTCACTCTGACACTCTCCTACGCAACCAGGCCCTCACCATCCTGAGTGTGACCCCTGCACCCCTCTTGTGGACACGGTTCCCATAGCCAGGGCCTTGTCTGATTCCTCTCTGCCCTGTGCCCAGCCTAGCACCTGGCACAGAAAAGGGCAGTGAGTGACCAGTGGCCTCAGCTATAGTCCCTGGGCCCGAGGGATTCTTCAACTCCTCTTTGCCTGGAATGGCAAGTCTGTCCCACACCTGAGGAGCCCCCTAGGCTCTGCTGCCCTGGGTGCAGCCCCCAGGCCTCAGAGCCAGAGCCGGCTGGGTGTTCCACTTGGCTGGCCACCCTATCTCAGGCCATCTTGCCGCCGTGCGGCTGCTCCTCCCAGCCCAGTATCTGGGGCCCTCATCTCCAGCGGGCGGAGCCCGGCTTGCTCTGACTTCTTCCCCAGTGTGTCCCTGCCTGAATTTCCTCCATTGCCACCCACCACACTCTGTCCCGCCCCGTGCAGGAGCAGCCTGCTCCCCAGCAGACCCCGGCTCACAGCGTCCACCTTCCTCAGGCTGCTCCTGCCTCCTGGGGGCATCCCTTCCTTGCTGAGTAAAAAGGCTGCCTGTCAGGAAGTCTTTCCTGGTGTGCTGATGTGACCTGCGGGACCAGGAACGCCAAGGGCAGGGACAGGGGCTGTGGCCTGGGACCTCCCCCACCAGGTCCCCAGCCAAGCCCAGGTCACACCCTGCATGGAAATGGGGTCCCCATCTTAGCTGGGGGCTGTGAGCATCGCGTCAGCACCCAGAGCCTCGGCTCTCACGTCTCTGGATGGGGACACCCTCCTCCAGGTATTAGGAGGCTCAGAGCCATGCACGTGGAGGACCCAGACGGCCCCACCTGCTGCACACCTACGGAGACTCAACTGCTTCTGCTAGAAGAGGAGCCTGAGGCTCCCAGAGGTCAGCAGGTGACATACCAGTCCCAGCTAATGCCCCCACCAGCCGCAGCCGCAGCCGCACCCTACCTTCCTGCCGGCCTCATTGTTGTGCAGGTTCATGAGGCGCCGCGCGTTCTTCTTGATCTCCCGAGCGTCCACGAAGCGCCGGGAAAAGTCGATGCCATAACGCACGTCGGCCGAGCAGCCACCCCACTTCCAGCCCTCGGCCTGGTTGTAGTAGCCCTGCTTCTCGCGGTCACAGCCGCAGTTGCTCAGGTTGCCTTGGCTGCAGGCAGCAGTGACGGCGTGCGCTACGCCAGCCGCAGTGATGGCATACGTGAAGGCAGCCTCACGGCTCCCTGCGGGGACAGACAGGTGCACAAGGTGAGGCCCCAGGCCCTGGGCCAAGTGGGCTCAGGGGATGAAGTGCCGGGCCTCGATCCACCTGCTGTTGGCCAGTTGTGTGACCCTGGGCTCATTGCTTGCCCCTCTGAGCCTCTGGCTCACCAAAGCGGGGCTGATGGGAGCCACCTCTCAGGGCTATGGTGAGGGCAGTGCCTGGAATACAGCAGGCCCCAGGGCACCCTGAGACCCGCCCTCCAGCATGCAGCACTGCCCACAGCTTCTCTCCCTGTTCCCAAGACTGGGCAGGAGAGGCCCAGTTTCTCCAGCCCTGAGAGTGAGCAGTGGAGACCCGTGGAGGGGATGGGTATCCCTGCCTCTGCCCCTCCCCTCTGCAAGCCTCCCAGGAGCCCCTCCTCATGAACGGGCATTTGCACTGACCCCGTGGGGACCAGCTATGCATGGCCAATGGAAGCTGGGGCCACGGGGAGCATGAGGGGCCTCACCCCCACCCCAAGCCAGGAACCCAGGTAGAAGTCACACAGCTCAGAAGCCCTTTGTTGCCATCTCCCCTCTTGGTCCACCCACCTTCAGTCCATCTCCAGATCCTGGGCCCCTTTTCCTCACCTCCTCCTAATACCCCTGCCTGACCCAGGGGCCCCAGAACTGCCTGGACTTGGGCAACAGTCCTCCCTGCCTCCCTCATCCCCCCAGCCACCAGCTGGTTCACTCTAAGGGCTGTCTGGCCAGGGCCCTCGCTGGCACCTTCGCTGATTCCCTCTGCTGGTAGAGCCAAGCCCACGGCTGAGCTGGGAAGGGAGGGTCCCAGGTCAATGCCCGCTGGCTGCCCCAGCCCTCTCTCCCCATCCTCTGCCCAGAACAATGACTCAGTCCTTCCAGGCGCTGCCCACATCCCCTGGGGATTATGTGGTCTTTTTGGTGGAATTCCCTCCTGCTTCATACCCAAATCCCAAGGACCTTCCAAGGCCCAGGTCTGAGGCCTCCCCATCCAGGCAGCCTTCCCAGAGCCCCAGACAGAAGGGAGCACTTGGTGCCTGATCCCTCAGTTCCAAATATGACCCAGATCCGGACACCCTCTCCCTGGTGAGTCTTACAGGTGGGGACTTCCATATGGGCCTGAAGGCCCCTGATATGGGCAGGTTCATCTCTCATTTTCTCTTTGTTTTCCCCAGCCCCAGGCCAGGCCCTGTGCATCCTTCCATCCCAACCCTGGACTCTTGGGTCCCTCTCAACCTGCCCCTGCCTGGGTCTGTGTCATTCCTATGTCCCCAGCACCTGGCCCATGTGGACACCGAGCAGGCTCAACCATGCCAGCTGGAGGACCAAGAGCCAAACTCCGGTGAGCAGGAACCTCCCTGCCCATCTCAGCAACAGGCAGAACAGGGCCGGTGCTCAGCCCAGGAGAGGGCAGCTGGAGACTCACACTGCTGGCATGGCACAGTCCCCTGCCCAGCACCTGCGAGCACCCGCACAGCCCTCAGTTGCCCACTGCTGTGCCTGTTATTGGGGCTGAGGTGACACCCACAGATTGAGATAGAGTCAAGTCAGGTCTGTTCTATGAACAACCATTGAGCACCAACGGCATGCCCAGCCTTGTGCTAGGGGCTGTGTGTGTGCTCTGGGGCCACTTCGTTGCCCGCAGCCAGCTGGGGGCTCAGCCAGGTGGGGTCTCTCTTCCCTAGGGTATCTTCCATCAGGGTGAGAACTGGGGTGGGGCCCACCAGCCTTAGGAGAAGACCTTGGTGGGCTGTCTGTCTGTTGTCATGGAGGGAGCCACGGCTTCCTAGGAACTTCCTTCCTGAGAAGAACTAAGGGGAGGGTAGTGTCCAGCATCCCTCCCTCCCCAGCAAGGTTCGAGACTACAATGATCGGCCTCCTCTGAGCTGCAGGCAGCACGGCCCCCGCCTTCGAAGCGCCTCATCCTGCCAGCCTCTCCTCCTCTGGCCGCTGTCCACCCACACTGCCCACTCTCTGCCTGGGCCAGGGCCAGGAAGATATAGGAATTCACCTCCCCGAGTCTAAATTAGGTCGAGATGACCCGAAGGGAAGCCCTTGCATGATGTGTGAAGTGGGGTATTAAACGCCCCATCCTGTCTGCATTACCCAAGCACAGCAGGGCCTGCTGGCAAGAAAGCCTCGGAAATCTCATGGGGGTAGGGGTAGGGGGCAATAAACCAAGAGGGGGATCCCAGTAAAGGGTCGAGAAGGGCCACAGAAGGGTCACGGCACCTCAAAGGATTCACTGACCTGCCTCTGTGGAGTGGAGTCAAGGAAGGCTTCCTGGAGGAAGTGACATTTTAAGTAGGTACAGTCTTAACAAGGAGCATGGATTCACGTGTGTGTGTGTGTGTGTGTGTGTGTGGTGTGTGTATGTGTGGCTGTGGTAGGCATGTACTCCCAGCATGGTCACACAGAGGCAAAGATGCTGAGCTGTGGAAGGGTTTGGTGAGGTCATGAGTGGCCATAGAGGAGGGGGAGAATGTCTTACAAGCAGGTGGCACTTTCTGTCCAGGTGCCAGGGACAGCTGCTAGGGAGGGCCAGATGTCAGGGCGCTTGCCTGGCCACACAGGTGTGGATTCTGGAACATTCAGAGGCCGGTTGACACCAGCATCAGTGTAGCCCATCCTCAGGGCTCTCCCCGTGCACCGGGTGCACACCCAGCCCTCACACGCGCTCCCATTTTACCTGGACATTAGGATGAGGTGCGTCCAGCCATGATTCCCAGTTTACAGAGGAGGAAGCAGAGGCACAGAGAGTGGCTGGAGCAAGATTCAAACCCAGGGAATGAATTCAAAGACCAGGAAGGCTGACGAAGGAGCAAAGCGCCTAGGGTCGGGGGCGCTGGAAGCTCTTCTGCCCCCACCTTGGCCTGTCTGAGTCTAAGGTGACCTGGGGGCGAATGTGGGCTGTGCAGCCCCCAGGGAAGATGCTGACTGTGAACAGTCTGTGGACCTGGGGGGCAGGGGCAGCTGCAGGCAGGCTCTGGGTGGGAAGCTCTAGGGAGCCTGAGCTGGCTTCGGAGTGGGCACGTGTTACCCGATGGAGGGGGTCTAGGAAACCCTAAGAACCCCAAACGATTGTGTGGGCCCAGCCGGTGGAGCTTGAGGACAGATGTGGATGTCCCCTCAGAGGTCCTGGAACAACAGCCTGTGATCCTTCTCTTCCTCCCTCATGGCAAGGCTGCAGAGCGGGTCAGAGGATGCCATTGTCCTGAAGTCCCTGAGCAGGCTGGCAGGTCCACAGTGGAGTTTGCACACTTGGAGGACGCTTCCTACAAGCCTCCCTTCCAGCCTCCCGCAAGCGCCTGCTCTCACCTGGCTATGCCCGCCCCAGGCTCAGACTCAGTTACTCACCAGTTACTCATCGCCTGCCGCTCCCGCTAATTCCTTTTTTATTTGCTTTTAATGAGCCAAACTCTCTGGTCTCCCATGGAGACAAGCAGGAGGCGAGCTGCAGAGAGTCGTCGTTTTGGGAGAATCAATAAGAATGACGTTAGGTCCAGCAAGAGTCGCTGCCGTGGACTGCGGGCTCCCGTGCGCCTGGCACGTTGCCTGTGTTGCCCAGCTAAATTCTCGAAACAGCCCACGGGGGAGGGCCCGTGACCCAATGTTACTGACCTAGACGCCCACTCCAAAGGCTTTGTCATGGCGTGCCTGGGTGTGTAGTGAGAAGGGCATAAGGGCTGCAGGCTTCCCCCGTGTCCCTCCCCAAGTCACTCCTGGGGCCGTGACTGGGGCACCTTCCCAGTCCGTGCACACACCATGCTGCCTCCAGGCTGACAGCGAGCTAGCGCTTAGACTTAGAAGCCGGTCCTCTGCAGCGGGCGCAGACAGACTGGACCCATGCACCTTGCTCAGCAGCTGTTAGTAGCCCCCAAGGCCTCTGAGATGACTTCCAGTGACTTGGCCTGGCCCCCAAGGCCCCAGAGGCCTGATCCCACCGGTCCTCACCCACCGCTGTCTGCAGTCCAGTATGGCCCGCCTGCAGGTTGGGCAGCCACCTCCCGCGCACAGTAACTACTCCTGAATAAAGGACCTGCTGGCTTCCTGCCGCCTGCCCTAGGGACAGCAGCCCCGTCTCTTCCTGGAATACCTGACCACTCTCCCACATATCCATGCACTACTCAGGCTCTGGACGCAGGGAGGGCTGCTCCCTGCTCCCCGAGTCCCCACTGTGGTGGGCACGCCCTCCTCTGGGCTCTCACTAGGTACCCCTCAGGCTGCAGGGGTGGTGGGCAGGATCCACATCAGATTCTTTTGTGTACCCCCCCACCCACTGCTGTTTCCCAAATCCCATGCATGAGCAGGTCTGGGCTGGTCAGCTCCCCGACACCACCTTGTCTCCAAGACAGCCCTGTTCTGATCAGACCCATTTCACAGATGGGAAAACTGAGCCTTCAAAGCAGGAAGTGATTTGCCATAGACCCATGGCAGTGACCACAGCCATCTGAGCTCAGCAGCTGCCCTAGATGTGTGTGGTGATGGGGAAGCTGGATGAGGGCAGCATGGATGCTCTGTTTGGGGCCGGCAGCTGTCCTGCTGATACACTTGGGTCTTGGGAGGCCTAGGGGCCTCTCTGAAAACCCAGAGCTTACCCAAGCACAGGTCTGTACCCTCAAACTCTAGAGCCAGCAGCAGCAGCCAGCAGTATCCCTAGAAAATGCCAGAGCAGGCTATGTTCTGGCCACCCCTCATCCCACAGCCCTCAAGAGCACTGGGCGGGTTTCTGAGTAATGGTCCCGAAGGTTCCAGCCCCGCTGCAGGATTCACTGTTTCCAGTGCAATCTATCTCTGGTGCCTCGGCAAGTCACCAACCCTCTCTGAGCCTGTGTTCCCATTTGCCACATGGAACTCAAAATCCTCACCTTGCCGCACAGCCCTAGCTGCCAGCTCTGAGAGCAAACAGGACAAGAGGGCACGGTACCCACATCACCAAGATGGTGGGCAATCCAGGGCCGGCTGGGGGTGAACCAGATGCAGCAAAGGACTCCAGGAC